CGCCCGGTTCGAATCCACCAGATGCTCTGCCGGGGAAGGAGGGACAATCTCCTCCTGTACCAGTCAGATCTGATTTGACGGTACACGCACACAAAAATAAAAAAAAGAGTCAGATGAGCAAAAACATCTTATCTCCTATGCCACATCTCTTGTTAACTATTTCTCCCGACGAATCGAATGTGGCTCAGTTTCCTCAGAGGGACACTTTTTTTTTTTTTTTCAGAGGGACACTCTTGATGCCTCCATTGGGAGACTAAATCCCAACTCTCGTTTTTAAAATAGATCTGAACAACTAGAGACGTGGTTTTTCAAAATGCCCTCAACTCCCTGAGGTCTACACCAATGAGCTCCCCCATGGAGAAACACTGGTGGTTTTCATTATTTTGATTACATCATTCCTTAAACAAGTCCTTAGGAAAGTATCTAGAGGTCCGAGCTTGTTAAACAATAATAAGCAAATACTAACAAAGGTCTACTTCAAGAAACCAACTACCAATATTTGAGATTATTCCATTTATCAAATAATCCAACCAAGTTCATTAAAAACCCACCTAACTCATTTTCAATACTGATCAACAGGCAAAAATATTAAAAGAAAAACTTACCTCCTGGGGCGCTTTTGTTTATTTTTTGTGCGGCTTTTGCGAGTTGGTTTAGGCAGAATTCTCCTCTGTAAAAATCATCACGAAACAAAATGTAAAAAGGTATTGTTAAATTGTAGAAAACTCATTAAAACCGCTTTAACAACACAGCAACATGTTTTTTTTAAAATATGTGTTAAATAACATATTCAACAGTGCAATAACAAAAGCATGAAGTGCAAGGTTCAAGAAAACCAAATAACCTAAACCACATCATTTTCTGCAAAATTATTCTGACATTGTATCTGGATTTTTTCCCCATACTACTTCATGTAAGATACCACAAAAGGAAAAAGATCTTAATTGCTAGATAATGGGTCTAATATCCCAAATATTGTACACATTCAATTACATGCAGGGTCCAATACAGATTTCAGTATGTCTACTGACCAATCTACTACTTCTCATATTCCTAACATTTAATTCTCCAACAGACTTCAGTATGCCAAGTTCGGGTCTGATGTCAGCTATTTAACAATACCTGAGCAATAAAGACAACGTGCTTTCCACTGAACTTTTTCTCCAGTTCACGTACTAAGCGGACTTGTATTTTCTGGAAAGATTTCAGTTGAGGAACAGGAACAAAGATTATAATAGCTTTCCGACCACCACCAACCTCAATTTCCTAAGGAGGAAAATAATAAACACAAGTTTTTAATGGGCACCTTTCCCACTCAAAACACAATCCTACAGTACATCACTGTGAATAATGGCTGCCCTATACATGTGATTGACTAAGACTTTTTACCATTGTCATCTCATTAACTGATACAAACCACAGCTCCATCATTCATCATGCCCATGCCAAACAAACGACACAAAAACTTTCAGTCTGAAATGACTGGTAGTCACACACGATTAACTTATCATGGGGGGTAATTTGAAAATTTTTTTCAAGCAAATAAATGACAGCTAGTAATCTTCCATATAATTAGTCATTTTAAACTTTCCAAATGGCCTTTAGATTTAAACCAATAGCCATTACAGATTTCTGCTTCCCCTTTTACACCAACAGTAATCCTCAAGTCTAAACTCAGTTAATTTTCTAATGTTACTAGCCTAAAAAAATGGACCCAGCTCATAATCTAAGTTTCTCCTCATAATCCAACTGGCAAATAGCTGTGAATTTTTAATTCTCCTCTCAAATTGTGAAGAACAATACAGTCCATACAGACTCTACCAAGGAACACTTCCGGAAATTAGCATCAAATTTACCTTCAAAATCACTGAACAAATAAGACAACTCTAAGGAATTGCTGCAAAGGCTATTTTCCTACTTTTTAATAAAACAAAGACAAACTTACCTTAGCTGCTGTTATATTCAGCTCCCTTAATTGAGCCTTTAGGTCTGAGTTCATCTCCAGTTCAAGCAGAGCCTTAGCATAAAAAGACACAAGGTGACTCTTAAATACCCTGTTAAAAGCAGCTGTCATCATGCCAACACCCCTGTGCCCCCACCACCAAAATGTCAACGACTTGCCGTTCAAGGTCTAACTATACCAAATGCCAAAGTACGACAAGCTATCACTGCTGGCTGCGGGAGAACTGGCTGGATTCGCCGGACACACGCGGCCACTTTACCAGGGGTGTTTATGTCCCGAACTCACTGGCAATTTCGGCGCAGATACAGCTCTGTCGCTCTATTTCACCCACCTGAGAGATGCCAGACTCGAATTCATCCGGCTTTTCGCCATTCGGCTTCACAATCTTCGCGCTTGAACTGAACATGGCCTTGTTCTGAAAGCACAGAAAGAACTAAGTTTAGCAACTCTCCAAAGTCCTGCTGTCCTACATTCTCAAGCCGCCCAAGTCCAGGAAAGCGCTCCTTCCCACCGCGCGGCGTAAGCGCGCTACACGCGACCCGTCAGCACTCGCAGGGTGACTGCCCTGGGCACGCCGGCCACAGCCGCGGTCAAGAGGGGCTGGCCAAAAGCGACCCCCCGCGCAAGCCATCGGAGCGCACACGTCAGGTAATCGGTTGTATCCCTACCCGGTGAGGAAAGAATGCTGCTCTCAGGCTAACTCCAAAAGGTATTTTTCTCGCTGTCTGCTAAAAAGCCCAACCACAGAAGACACAGAACACCTACCGTGCTGAGCACCGGCCTAGGAAGAGACCAAAACGTCGCGAGAACACGTCAAATCTCGGCGGCGAAAGGAAGGGGAGGGAGTAACACCGAGTGTTGTGGGTGGGAACCGGAACAAGATTTGAAAAATCCTAGGGAGTGCCAGGAAGTTCCTATATGGGGACGAGTTAACTCCAGACACTTTTCTGCTAAAGGGATGGTTCTGTTTAGTAGGTTTTCGAGGGTTCATTTGTGTTTATTTCTAAGCCTTACGCCCTGAGAGGCACTGATACCAGCAAGTGACCTCGGGCATCTGGTCTGGTCCTAGCAGAGACTTGGCAAGAGGTGGAGGTTGTGAAAGGCATTAAATGGTTCTTAAAGAACTAACATAGTTCAACTATTCAAGAAACGGATTGCATTGGGAAAGTGTGCAATCAGGGACCCCGAGGTGCAATGATGTTAGAGGACTAAGGTGAGCTTGACTCAGACCTTGGTCTTTTCGATCACTTGCTGTGCATTTGAAACCTGGACGATGAATAAGGATGACAGAAGAATTGATACCTTTGGGCTGTGGTATTAGAGAATTCTCACTATTCCATGGATTGCCAAAAGAAGTAACAGATCTTGGAGAAAGAAAGCGTGGCCACAGTGTTCCTTGGAGGCAAAGATGACAAAGCTTTGTCTCACATACAGTGGGCATATTTTTTTGAGAGGTTATTCCTTGGAGAGGAACATCATGCTCGGAAAGGGGGAGGATTAGCAAAAGAAAGACCTTCAACCTTATAGATTAGCATAGTGACTACTGCAATGGACTCAAGTATGTGATAAGTGATGAGGATGGCACAGGATACGACAGAGTCCAGATCTGTTCATAGTATTGCTCAGAGTTTTATTCGACTCTATGGTACCTAGTAACAAATGTGGTTTAGTGTTAAGGAGTTGCGTTGCCAAGGCAAGAGAATCAATCCACCAGATGCTCTATGGGAGAAAGAAGGCAAGCCCCTTCCACGTAATTTACAGCCCCTGAAAACACACAGGAATGTCAACCATGAGTCTGTTTCAACTTGATGGCACATAACATCAGTAATGACCATTTAGATTGTTGGCTTGGATTTTTTTTTTTTCACATTCAAAATCCAGTATGTTTTTAATACTTCTAGTTGAGCGCAGATTGTTGTTGCTGTGTATTGTCAAGTTTGAACCAACCCGGGGTTGACCTCCCAGTAGATTTTCAGAGACTATAAATCACACTGGAGGAAATTGTCCAATATTCAGTAACCACATGTGGCCACACTGGTTGCCCTAGCAGACAACACAGAACTAGAAATAAGCCTATTATATTGTCACTCAATATTTGTGGAATTGTTGAAAGAAACTTGAGACACAAGCAGAGATGGTTTTGTTAACGCTAATTTACAGATTATACTAAATAATGAGGGAGATATGGAGGTCTAATGGTAAGGACAATAATAGATAATAATAATAGTATCTTACATTGAATTTATGGAAAAGGTCTCACAATCTACTTCCAGAACATCAGTCATTGAAAAACCACTAAGGAGCACAGATCTATTCTGACACATGGAGTGCCATGTACTGGGAATCAACTAAAAAACACCTGGCTTCTCTCATTCTGTTATTTGAGTATATGATATGCTCTTTACATTTCATATTCATACATATGAATTATTGTTGCTGATAGGTTTCATCAAATTGGTGCTGACTCATAGTAACTCAGTTGTTGTTGTTGTTGTTATGTGCCATCAAGTGGCTTGCAACTCATAGCGACCCTATGTACAACATCCCTATACTCTGTCCTGTGCCAATCGCACCATCTCTGACACACCCATCCTGATTATCCCAGTCACTGAATCAATCCACCTCATAGGGGGCCTTCCCCTTCTGCACTGTCCTTCCACCCTACCAAGCATGATGTCCCTCTCCAAGGACCTGTCCCTCCTTGCAACATGTCCAAAGTATGTTAGATGGAGCCTTAGAATCCTTGCTTCCAAGGAGCAGCCCGGTTTGACCCTTTGCAGGATGAATCTGTAGACAGCAGAATGAAACACTGCCCAGCCCTAAACCATCTTCATGATGATCGTGGTTGTAGCCATTGTATCAGCCTATTGTATTGAGGGTTTTCTTCTTATCTGTGGCTCTATACTGTAGGTGGCATAGTCTGTAGCTGTGAAATTCTGCTGCTAACTCAGAGGCTGTTAATCTCCAGTAGTTGGAATCCATCAGTAGCGCAGCTGGAGAAAGATGGGCAGTCTCCTGCCACTTCAATTTAAAACCCTGGAAACACAAAGGAGAGTCAGTAAGAGTCTGAACCAGCTTAGTGGCAGTGAATTTGAGGTTGGTTTGTTGGGTTTCTGGTTTTGGTTTTGTTTTGTTCCTTTTGCTTTACCCAGCATGATGTCCTTCTCCAGAGACTGGCCACTTTGGTATGTCTAAAGGATATGAAATGAAGTCTTTTCTGCTTCGTTTCTTAGTAGCTTCTGTCTTATCGCTTCCAAGATAGATTTGTGTATTCTTCTAGCAATCCAAAGTATATTTAACATTCTTAGTCAATACCATAATTTAAATATATCAATTCTTTTTCTGTCTTCCTTACTTACTGTCCTACTTTCATCTACATATGAGGTGAAAAGGTCATGGCTTCTCCAGCTATTCCAGATCTTGGGGGAGGATGGAAAGAATACTCCGGAACTCATTTTATCAAGCAAGCATAAGTCTAATAGTAAAGCCAGGTAAAGAGACAATGTAAAAAGAGAACTACAGGCCAGTATGCCTCATGGGAAAAATGGTAAGAATTCACAGCAAAATTCTTGTCAATGGAATTTAATGTCACATTAAAAATACATTGCAACAAGGTGGGATTCATGCTAAGTATACAAAGTTGGTTTGACATTAAAAAAATAATTGTAATTCACTATCTAAATAAACAGAAGAATAGCAATCTCCTCCCATGTGATTTAATGCCTCTGAAAACTGCTAGACGGTCAGCTGTGGGTCAAATATGACTCAACTGCAAACAACAACAACATAAATAAAAAATTACTAGAACAGTAGTGACATAGAAGTACCAGAAATACAAGCGAGGTTAAAAAAAGGCCATGGTACTAGTGCAGTCATTGTTGTTGTCAGGTGGATCTTGGCAGAAAGCAGAGAATACCAGAAGAATATCTTATTTATGTTTTATCAACTGTGCAAAAGCATCTGACTGTGTGTATCACAACAAATTGTGATTAACATTAAGAAGAATGGGAATCCCAGAGTATTTGTGCATGTAAAACCTATATGTACAAAGGGAAACTGTTGTCAGAACAGAGCAAGGGAACACTGCATGGTTCAAAATCAAGAAAGGACTGTGTCAGGGATGTATCCTTTTCATACAGACTTTCTCAATCTAAATACTCTGTTTAGATCATTTAGAAGACTGGACTTTATAAAGAAGAATGTGGCATCAGGATTAGAGGAAGACCAATTAACAACTGATGTTATGCAGATGACACAACCTAGCTTGCCAAAACTGAGTAGGAATTGAAGTGCTTGTTCAGAAGGTCATGGTCTGCAGCCTTCAATAGGAATTATATCTCAACAACAAGAAAACAGACATCTTCACCACTGGGCCAATAAGAAGCATCATGACAAATGGAGAAAAAAATGAGTTAAAAATTTCATCTTGCTCAGATCCACAATCAACACTCTTGACACCAGCAATCAGAAAATCAAAAGACGAGTTGCATGGGAAAATCTGCTGTCAAGGACCTCTCTAAAGTTCTAAAGGTAGACAACATCAGTCTAAAGACTAAGGTGTGTCTAAGGCCAGGCCATGGTCTTCTCAATTACTCGTTATTCATATAAAAGCTGGACAATGAATGTATAAGCATGACAGAAGAATCAATACCTTTGAGTTGTGATGTTGGAGAAGAGGATTGAAAATATCATGGACTGCAAGAGAACAAACAAGTTTGTCCTCAAGAGAGTGAAACCAGTTTGCACCTCTGGAGGCAAGGATTTTTAAACTCTGTCTCACACATAATTTGAGCATGTTGTCAGAAAGGAGCAGTTGTTAGAGGGTAACATCCTCCTTCAAAGGGTAGGGGGTCAGCACCAAAAAGGAAGACTGGGATGACATGGATTGACATAGAGACTGGCAGTGGAGTCAAGTGTGTCAGAGATGGTAAAGCTGGATCAGAATAGGGCAAGGTTCAGTATTTTTCATAGGGTCACTATGAGTTGTAGTCGACTCTATGGCATATAACAACAACCTAAAATAAACAAAGGAAAAGAATATCATGATCATATCAACCAATGCATAAAAGGTATTTGATAAAATACCTACTGCTAAACTAGGTGCCTCTGGAAACTACTAATAAATGTACAGAAATGATGTTAATCTTAGAACAGAGTTCAGGTCTTTTGTGCAAAGTTTACTGTAAGTCATATTTGACTCGACAACACTTAACCACTGCTAAATGAGACTAGTGTTGTTATAGCTGGAGGAACATTCTTCCACTTTGCACATCACTCTTTGTCAATATGAGGTAACCTGGGTTTGCTACGATGCTGAACCTTGTGCCATAGGAATATCAAATACCAGAATGGTTTCCCATTGTAGACAGTGTTTGGTGGAGCTCTCAGTTGTAAAACAGGTTAGGAAGCAGGGGTGGCACCCACTTCCTAAACTAAATGCCTCTGGAAACTCTGTGATGAGAAATGATGATAGCTATGGAAAGGCAGTAGGTCTTGTGTTCATAGAGTCACTATGAGTTGACCTTGACTCGATGGCAATCAACAACAACAATAAAAACTCAGTAAAAAGACAAATTCTTAACATAATTGGGGCTTATATAGGAAATCAACAGCCAACATAATTTTCAATGGAAATTGAAAGCATGCTTCTTGAGAACAGGAACCTGACAAGGATGCCCACTATCAGTTCTACTATTCCTTCAACATTGAAGTGGAAGTACTAGCCAGGCAATAAGAAAAAAAAGAAGGGGGAGGGGACAATAAAAAGAATCCAAATTGGTAAGGAATAAGTAAAATCATTCCTATTTGCAGATCATAAGATTCTATAACAGAGAATAAGCAAA